AAGAAAATTGCCATCATTTAATGGCTGGAGCATTACATAATCTAAATTACATTCTTCGGTAGGCAAAGGTGTCATAGGGACATGTGAAAGTAGTCTTTTCCTGATCACATGGACTGATGGGAATTTGAAACAAACCATAATATCCGTCCAAATAGCAGAAAAACGAATGCTTAGCCAAACGTTTAAGCATCTGATCAATGAAGGGGAGGGGAAAATGGTCCTTTCGGGTGGCCTTTTTCAACCTCCTATAATCAATACACATTTGCCAACCTTTAACAGTTCTAGTGGCGATTGGCTCACCCTTGTCATGCTTGACAAAGGTCATACCTCCTTTCTTTGGAACTACTTGTACAGCGCTAACCCACTTACTATATGAGATAGGGTAAATTATTCCTGCAGCAAGCAATTTAAGAACCTCTTTTTTAACTACCTCCATCATATTTGGATTAAGTCGTCTTTGAGGTTCTATGGAGGAGGCATGATCGTCCTCAAGAATTATCTTATGCATACAAAAAGAGGGATTAATACTCTTAATATCATCAATGGTGTACCCAATTACACTTTTATATTTTCTCAAAACAGTGAGCAGTTGCTCTAATTTTGTGTCATTAAGCTCAGCATTAACAATAACATGATATGTATTAGTAGGACCAAGGTATGCATATTTAAAAGTAAGGGAAGGGATTTCAACTCTACCTCGGGAGGCGTAGTACTCTCCCCAACACCCGATGCACTAAGGACTTCCTTGACTAGAGCGGTGATTGGATTGGCTTTTCTTTCCTCAAGTAGCCACGTGTACTCCCTTGTTTCCCAATCATCCTCATTGGAACTTCCCATTAACACCGTTTCAAGTGCATCATCTTATTTAATCAAGGGAATTTGCTCATGTTGTAAATCATCAAGGACATCCACTCGGAAAATAGTTTCTCCCATAGAAGGAGCTGCTACAGAATTCACAAGTGAACACTCCATTTTCTCGTCACCCACTCAAAAGTGATTTTACCATTCTTCATATCAATAATTGCACCAGCAGTGGCTAAGAATGGTCTACCAAGAATAATAGGGACATGTGCATCCTCTTCCATCTCCATCATAACAAAGTCGCATGGGATAAAGAATTTTCCCACGCGAAGAGGAACATCTTCAAGTATACCCAAAGGAAATTTAACCGACCTGTCCGTAAGTTGTAGAGATATGCGTGTAGGCTTTAGTTCAGCTAATTGAAGTTTCTTGCAAATAGAGAGCACATGAGAATCACACTTGCACCATGATCACATAGTGCTTTGTTGATCTCTATATCCCCAAGCTTCACTGGAATTGAGTAGCTACCTGGATCGCCTAGTTTCTTAAGAAATGTGTTTTGCAAAATAGCACTACACTTCGCTGTCAACGCCACCGTGGCATTCTCCTCTTGCTTCTTATTAGAGAGCATATCCTTTAAAAATTTTGCATAAGAGGGCATCTCGGATATTGCATGTAAGAATGGAATGTTTATGTGAAGTTTCTTCAAAATATCAAGAAATATTCCATACTTCTTCTCTAACTTAGCTTGAGCCAACCTTTGCGGAAAAGGAAATTGTGGCACATATGGAGCAAGTGGTGGTGGAGTTGGTGCCTTTGGCTCTTCCTCGATCACACTACTATCAATCACCTTCTCATTCGTGACTACCTCTTAAACAACCTTCTTTGATGGCTCCCTTATAGGAGGATCTTCCAACTGCTTCCCGTTCCTCAAAGTCACGACATTCATATTCCCCTTTGGTGGTTGCTGTTTGACCTGGGAAGGTTCCCGGAGTCTTTGAAGATTGGCCAACTTGATGAGCAAGTTGACTTATATGATTTTCCATGAGCTTGTAATTGTTGATGGAATTGTTTGTTATGGTAATGAAGTTCTCCATCATCAGCTCAAGGTTAGATTTTTGTGGGGGTGGTTGCATAGGTTGTTGGACTACTAGAGGTGGCCTTGCTTGGAAACCAGGTGGTGCATTATAATTTTGTTTTGAGGTGGTGGTGGAGATGGATTTTGTTGAGCTTGGGTATTCTTGTAAGAGAAATTTGGATGATGTTTCCAACCTTCATTATATGTGTTTAAATGAGGGTCATATGGCCTTTTGGAATTTGAAGTGTAGAATGCATTGGCTTCCTCAATCGATGATATGTCGTGTTTTGTGTATGTTATTTGGCTTATTTTTAGTTAGTTTTGTTAGTTTAGTTGAGTATTTGAGTCCGTTTTGGCGTATTTTGGTTTAGTTTTGATAATCCGATGCTTTTATGGGTAGTTTTGTTATTTTTGATGTTTTTCAGGAATAATGAAGCTAATTTGGATCCATTACGAATCCATGAAGTTAAGCCAAAGCCCATGAAGCTTGATGATTGAAGAAAAGGCAAAATAGGGAATTTTAGAGCTAGGCACGGCCGTGCCTACTCTGAGGCACGTCCGTGCCTCCAAGCCATATGCAGCACCCTTTGTTTCGACCCTAGGCACGTCCGTGCCTAGCAGGAGGGCATGTCCGTGCCCATCAGAGCAGCCAGGCACGTCCGTGCCTGGAAGACAAAAGCTGCAACGATTATGCTACGTAGAGAGGCACGTCCGTGCCTCCTAGGATTCTTGTGCGCCAAGGCTTGGCCGATTTTCTTATCTTTTTAGGCTTATATAAATACTTTTTAGCCTTGTTTTCTGGGGGATTCATTAAGTTTATATTATTTTTCAATTCCTATTATTAAGAACTAGTTCTCCATTATTATTTTCCATGTTTTTGTAATTCAAGATTCAAGATTCAAGATTCAAGCTTTCTACTTTCAATTCTATTCAAGATTTGGTATTTATTTTTCATCCTTTGTTAATTAATTATGTTTTCATTATTTATTATTGTTTTTGTTTCTTTAATCATGTGTGAGTAGATTCCTTAATTCAAGGTCTAGTGTAGCCCTATTATTATTGATGCATGAATTAAATCTTTAAATTCTTTAATAACTTTAACAATTGAATTGCTAAATTGATTGTGATTATGCCAATGCTAGGTTAGACGTATATATAGTATTGCGATTATTCCATTGTTTTTATCACAGCGAGAGTTAGGTATAAACAGATTTGAGTAAATCAATTTAGGGTTTGATTCTCAACACGAGAGTAGTTGGGTTTGATAATTGGGAAGTGAGAGTAATGTGTTTAATGTCTCTAATATGCATGATACCATGAGAATAGGATTGATTGTATGTTAGGGAAGCCATTAATACTCGAGAGAGATCCTTGGTATTTATTAGGGTTTACTTTTCCCCGTTCGATTGAAATCGTATGTTAAGGGTAGAATTACAATTGCATCGATAATAATTGTGGTGAAACTAGATCTTGGATGTTTTAAGTACTTGATTTAATCATCTTATTTAGTTTATTTTCGAATTCTTCTCATACTTAGTTCCGTAGATAATTGATTATAATTGATTCTTGCTTAGTAGAAATTCGAGTCTATTTAATTATTTTTGAACCTTAGTCTCTTGGGATCCGACCCTTACTTGCCAGTCTACATTAGTATTGGCCTGTTAGGTAATTTTTGATAGGTACGCGACACGCCTACCAAATTTTGGCGCCGTTGCCGGGGACTGACGGTTTCATTAGAATTATTTGTGATTCATCTTTACTAAGTTTATTTCGTTGCTTCGGCTATTTTCCCTTGTGTTTTTGATACCTTTCTCTAGTTTTTCTTATGCATGCCCACACGACGCTCAGGTTCAGAAGATCTTGAACCATTTCATTCTGAGATTGAGGCAACTATAAGAAGAAGGAGAACGGGGAACAGACGCAGGAGAAACATGGTAGACCAACCAACGAAATCCCTCTTGGAGTACGGTATTCCTGATACGACTACCGGAGTCCTTTCAAGCATCATAAGACCACCAGTCACGGCTCAGCACTTCGAGCTCAAGCCACAGTTCATACAGTTCATCTCCAATGATTCATTCGCAGGGCTACCACATGATTGCCCCGTAAGTCATATAGATAGCTTTTTGGAGAAATGTGATACTATGAAGTTGAATGGTGTTACAGATGATGCAATCAGACTACGCCTTTTCCCCTTCTCACTTCAAGACAGGGCAAAGGAGTGGTTGAGAGATGAAGGCACTAGCTCGTTCGTTACATGGGACAAGTTAGTGAAGGCCTTCTTAGTGAAGTTTTTAGGGAATGAGAAGACTACAAGATTGAGGAATGACCTACAAACTTTTAAGCAGTCAGATGATGAGTCTCTCTATGAGGCTTGGAGGAGATTTAAAAGATTGCAGAGAGAATGCCCTCACCATGGCATTCCAGATTGGATTTTGATGCATACCTTTTACAATGGCATGACTCATGAGTTCCGTATTTACATAGATGCTGCGTCAGGAGGTTCTCTCTTGACAAAGAACCCCACTGAAGCTAGGGAGCTCATAGAGAAGATGGCGGCCAATGATAACTATCATCCTGGAGGCCGAAACACTGTGAAAAAGGGAGGTAAACTTGATGTTGATGCTTTAACTATGCTAACTAGTTCTGTGCAGGCACTAACAAGCAGGTTTGATAAGTTCCAAGCAGGAACTTCTAACACCCCACATGAGTTGTGTCAGTTATGTAATATGCAAGGTCATGTTGCTCCAGATTGCCCACAGATTTGGCAGAATACGGAAGAGATGTCAATCGAGCAAGCCAATGCTTTCTACTCCTCTAACCAAAGAGACCTTATGATCCTTATTCCAACACCTACAATGAAGGATGGAAACACCATCCTAACTTCTCATACAAAAATTCCCAAGCACAACAAAACCCTCCACCACCACCTCCACCCAACACCTACAACCAACCACCACCTGGTTTCCAATAGAAAACACCCAATGCCCACCAACCAATGCAACAACAACCTCAGAAATCAAGCCTAGAGGTGACATTAGAGAGCTTTATAACCGCAACAAATAGTGCCATCCAACATCAAAATAGCTCTATCCAACAGTTGCAGGCTCAGGGTAAACTTATGGAGAATCAGATAAGCCAATTGGCCAACCAATTTAGCCAAGTCCTAAAGACTCCAGGAACCTTCCCGGCCCAAACTGAACAATCTCAAAAAGGCCAAATGAATGTCGTCACCCTGAGGAGTGGAAAGCAGTTGGAAGATCCTCCTACTAAGGAGTCATCAAGAGAGGTCATTGAAGAAGTGAGTGCAAGTGAGAAGGAAGTAGAGGATGCTAGGGTTGAGGAAGCATCAAAGGAAGCACCACCAAAGCCACATGCTCCATATATGCCTAAGGTTCCTTTTCCTCAAAGATTAGCACAAGCTAAACTTGAGAAAAAGTTTAGTAAGTTCCTCGATGTTCTTAAAAAGCTTCATATTAATATTCCATTCCTAGATGCCATATCTGAGATGCCCTCTTATGCAAAATTTTTAAAAGATATGCTATCTAACAAGAGGAAATTAGAAGAGAATACTACAGTTGCTTTGAATGAAGAGTGCAGTGCTATTTTGTAGAACACTCTCCCTAAGAAATTAGGAGATCCGGGTAGCTATTCAATTCCAGTGAAGCTTGGAGATATTGAGATCAACAGGGCACTATGTGATCTAGGTGCAAGTGTGAGCCTCATGCCACTGTCTATGTCTATATGCAAGAAGCTGCAGATGGGTGAACTCAAACCCACACGCATATCTCTGCAACTTGCAGACAGGTCAGTGAAGTTTCCTTTCGGTGTACTTGAGGATGTACCCCTCCAAGTAGGTAAGTTTTTCATTCCATGTGATTTTGTTGTGATGGAGATGGATGAGGATGTGAATGTTCCTATCATACTAGGTAGACCTTTCTTAGCTACTGCAGGTGCAATTATAGACATGAAGAAAGGTAAGATTACTTTTGAAGTAGGTGATGAAAAATTGGAATACTCACTTTTGAATGTTATGGGTGCTCCTTCTATGGGAGATACTGTTTGTCAGGTTGATGTGCTCGATGAGCTGCAGAATGAGCAACTTCCCTTGAATCAGAATGATGATGCTCTTGAACAAGTGCTATTAGGGAAGGAAGATGATAATGGAGATTGGTAGTCTAAGGAGTATACCAGGTTACTTGATGAAGCAAAGGCCGATCTAAATCAGAACCCGATCAGAGAGACATTGGAAGTAATGAGTATTGGGGAGAGTTCTAAGCCTCCCGAGGTAGAGTTGAAACCCCTCCCCTCTAACTTAAAATATGCATATCTTGGTCCAAATAATTCATATCCCGTTATTGTCAATGCTGAACTCAAGGACACAAAATTGGAGCAATTGCTCAATGTTTTGAAAACATATAAAAGTGTCATTGGGTATACCATTGATGATATCAAGGGCATTAATCCTTCACTCTGTATGCATAAGATCATTCTTGAAAACGATCATGCCTCTTCTGTAGAACCTCAGAGAAGACTTAATCCTAATATGATGGAGGTAGTTAAAAAAGAGGTTCTGAAATTGCTTGCTGCAGGTATAATCTACCCTATCTCTGATAGTAAGTGGGTTAGCCCTGTACAAGTAGTACCAAAGAAGGGAGGTATGACCGTTGTCAAGAATGACAAGGGTGAGCCAGTCGCCACTAGAACTGTCACAGGATGGAAAATGTGTATAGATTATAGAAAGTTGAATAAGGCAACCCTGAAGGATCACTTCCCCTTACCTTTTATTGATCAGATGCTTGAAAGGTTGGCAAAGCATTCCTTTTTCTGTTACTTGGATGGATATTCAGGTTTCTTTCAAATTCCCATCCGTCCCTGTGACCAGGAGAAGACTACTTTCACATGTCCATATGGCACCTTTGCATATCGCAGGATGCCATTTGGATTATGTAATGCTCCTGCCACCTTTCAGCGTTGTATGATGGCAATTTTCTCAAGACTCATAGAAAACTCTATGGAAGTATTTATGGATGATTTCTCTGTCTATGGAACATCTTTCGATGTCTGTCTTGAAAATTTGAAAAAGGTGCTCCAAAGATTTAAAGAAGTTAATCTAATCTTAAACTGGGAGAAATGCCATTTTATGGTACAACAGGGAATTGTCTTAGGTCACGTCGTGTCTAATAAGGGTATTGAGGTTGATTGAGCTAAAATAGAGGTCATAGAGTGTTTACCACCTCCTAACTCTGTAAAAGGATTTCGAAGTTTCCTTGGTCACGCAGGTTTTTATCGGCGTTTTATTAAGGATTTTTCGAAAATTGCTAGACCTTTAACTGAGCTATTGGCCAAGGATGTCCCTTTTGTCTTTTCTGATGCTTGTCTTGAAGCTTTTAACAGGTTGAAGGAAGCTTTAATCACTGCTCCAGTCATGCAACCCCCAGATTGGAGTCTGCCGTTTGAAATCATGTGCGATGCTAGTGATTATGCGGTAGGAGTCGTGTTGGGGCAAAGGAAGGAGAAGAAGCTCCATGCCATATACTATGCTAGCAAGACTTTGAGCTCTGCTCAAATGAATTATGCCACAACTGAAAAAGAAATGCTAGCAGTTATTTATGCTATTGACAAGTTTCATTCTTATTTGGTAGGTTCTAAAGTCATCATACATACAGATCATGCAGCATTGAGGTTCTTGATGACCAAAACACATGCCAAGCCTAGGTTGATCCGATGGATTCTACAGCTACAGGATTATGACATCGAAATCAGGGATACCAAAGGGACAGAGAACGTTGTTGCAGACCATCTTTCTCGTCTTCTCCTTGACCCCGAGGATGGAGATGATACTCCTTTATATGATTCTTTTCCTGCTGAAATTTACTAGCTTTATTACAGACTGAATCCCATTGGTTTGCTGACCTAGCTAATTTTCTCTCAACAGGTACAATGCCTCATGGCTACTCTTCTCAACAAAGGAAGAAATTTCTTTCTGAGGTAAAGAGATATTTTTGGGACGATCCATTCCTATAAAAGCAATGCGCGGATGCCATGATCCGAAGATGTGTTCCAGAAACTGAGGTAAGCAACATTATTTCACATTGCCATGACTTACCCTGTGGTGGACATGCAGGCCCCTCGAAGACAATTGCAAAGATTTTGCAATGTGGATTTTATTGGCCTACGATGTTCAAGGATACCTATGCCTATGTCAAAGCATGTGATAGATGTCAACGGACTGGCATAATTTCTAAGAAGAACGAGATGCCACTTAACAACATACTCGAGGTCGAGTTGTTTGATGTGTGGGGGATAGATTTCATGGGTCCGTTACCCTCTTCTCATGGCAACCATTACATATTGCTAGCTGTTGATTATGTTTCAAAGTGGGTAGAAGCAATAGCCACTCCAACCAATGATGCTCGGGCGGTAAGTAAGTTTTTCAAGAGAGTTATTTTCCCTCGTTTTGGTTTACCACGTGTTTTGATCAGTGACAGGGGAACACATTTCACGGAGCATCGGTTTGAAGCAATGTTGAAGAAATATGGAGTACAACACAAACTTGGCATTGGCTATCACCCACAAACTAGTGGCCAAGTTGAAGTGTCCAACCGAGAAATCAAATCTATCTTGGAGAAAACGGTTGCAAGGACAAAGAAGGATTGGTCAGTTAAGATTGATGATGCGCTATGGGCATACCGAACGGCCTTTAAAATGCCTATTGGTACAACCCCATATAGACTTGTGTATGGAAAGGCGTGTCACTTACCAGTCGAGCTAGAACACCGAGCTTTTTGGGCTATTAAAAGTTTAAACATCGATGCTCAAGCGGCAGGAGAAAAGATATTATTACAATTAAATGAGCTAGATGAGCTCTTCCTTGAATCCTATGAAAGTTCAAAGTTGTACAAAGAAAAGACTAAAAGGTGGCATGATAAGGGTCTTGTGAGAAGGGAGTTCAAAGAAGGGGATCAAGTCCTTCTTTTCAACTCTAGGTTGAAATTATTCCTTGGTAAGCTTCGGTCTAGGTGGTCGGGACCGTTCAAGATTAGGAAAGTCTTCCCCTATGGCACTATTGAGTTGGAAAACACAAGAGGGGAACCTTTCAAAGTCAACGGACAGCAAGTGAAGCACTATCGAGTCGGTGATCCCATCGATGAGGGGGTGGATATCACACTCTCGTCCCCGTCACTAAGCTCCTGAGAAGCCATACGGTCAAGCTAAAGACCTTATAAACAAGCGCTAAATGGGAGGCAACCCATTCTTGAGTTTTTACTCTTATTTCGTTAAGCTTTCTTTATTATTTTCATTAATTTATCTTGACTTCTTTGTTTTGATTCTTATGTCTAGTTTTTGTTTTGTTTGTGGTGTTAAATTAGGTGAAAAGTAAGCAAAAAGAAGAAGAAACAAGGAGGAAAAACGCTAAGGGAGAATTGGCCTGCGCAAGGAGGCACGTCCGTGCCCCTGAAGAGGCACGTCCGTGCCTCTGAGGCAGAAAGTTGGGGAGCTTAATTTCTGGAGAGGCACGTCCGTGCCTCCTACTAGGCACGTCCGTGCCTCTAACATTCGAAAAAAAAAAAACCGCATAATTAGGCACGTCCGTGCCTCTGAGGCAGAATGTTTTGAAAATTTGATTTCTGAAGAGGCACGTCCGTGCCCCCCCCCCTGAATAAAGAGGCACGGGCTCCCTCATTCTTTCATTCACCATTTTTCAACTTTCAAACTCAAGAGTCTCTCTCTCCTCTCCTTTCACTCAAATTTCGGCCAACCCCCATTAATTTTCACTTTGTTTCACAATTTTCTACAATAATCTTCAAGTTTTCAACATTTCTACTCAATCTTACACTCCACTACCATCAAAAACCAATCCAAACCCCAATTTCTTGCAAAATTTCGAAGACCCCTTAGTTGAAAATCAATTTGGGGCTTTTTGATTTGAGACTTCTTGGAGCAATTGGGTAGCAAGGAAAGGATTCTAAGGTGATATTTGCAACATTTGTGGATCAATTGCGGGTATTAAACACCCACCACACCTTGGGTACCCTCTAATCTTGCACATTCTCTCTCTAGATTTTTATGTTTAATTTGCTACAAATTGTTCATAGAAATTGTTTGAGTTAGTTAGTTGTGTTTGGGTTGTTTAATTTGTTTTGATAATCGTGATTAAAAGTTGGTGTAGTGTAGTTGTGAGATTTATTTTGCACTTAGTTGATTATTGTTGATAATTGTGAGTTTGTGATAAAGGTGGTTGATTAATTAACTGTTCTTTGTGCTTGAACTACATACATTGTTGTGAACTTGCAATTATGGCCTCCTCCTCAAACCAAAGAAGAAACAGCCCTAGAAACACCTCTTCCAAAAACCTTAGAACCCCTCCCGTTCCACAACCTCCTCCCGTACCACTTGCCCATATTCCAACCATTGAGACATTCGGGATTGATTTCAAGGGAAATGAGGAATACATGAAGAACTTTCTTCGCCTTAGATCCCGACCTTTAGTGCCTACACAGTTCTTTGACCAAGAGCCTATGGAAACCTTGGGTATGGGAGGTGAGGTCCAACGCATACTTAGCCGGCTAGGATGGAGTGGTTTCTTAGCCAAACATGCCAACACCTACTCCAACATTACATACGAGTTTCTTTCTACCTTAGAAGTCCGTCGTAGACCCGACGACAACACCCTAGAGACGTTTCATTCAATTGTCTTGGTGAACGTCACACCCTTACGGTGAGGGAAGTTAATGTCTTGCTAGGCTTTCCCACCTTTGGCCAAATAGGTAGAACAAACTACAGTAGGTTGACTGGCTACAGTGACCTTAACACATGGCGGGATTTGACTGGGCTAGATGACTATGACCCTAGCCACTCTAAGACCTCATGCATCATCCACCCAGCCATGAGACTTATCTGCCGACTCTTTTCCTGGACCCTATTTGCTAGATGTAACACAGGGGGAGTTTGCTCGGCCAAGGAGCTCTATTTTCTATGGCATTTGTTAGCTCACCCCGACCCCACTGAGTTTGATGACATGATTAACCCAAGGGCATGGTTTTTAGATCACCTATATAACGTAGCCATGGGGTCTGGGGACATTGCTATAGGTGGTATGCTTTCTTTGTTGGTTGTTGGCTATGTGCAGGATTGGGCAGGTTTGGACCAGTACAGGGTCGGAGGCCCCACCAC